CAACCCTGTAATCTCACTCAGCACTTGGGAAGTGGAGGCGAGGAGATTAGGAATTCAAGGCAAGCCTCAACTACACGGTGAATCTGAAGCCAGCCTGGGCTACATGAAATTCTCTCTCAAAAATAAAAGAAAGGAATGATGGGGGTTTTGTCTCCATAGTTTTACAAACATGGGAACCTGATTAAACCCAGAACTCATGTTAAAATGTCAAGCCCGTGCTGTGTGACAGTTACCTCCAAAGGGAAACATTTCCTCCAGGAGGGAGAGAGACTCCATGGGTAAGCAAAAGGTCATGACTCAGAACAGAAACTTGGCAGATTCTTCACATCTCCTACCACTCCCAGAAGTATAAAAATGAATGAGCAACTGCTGGGCGAGGACACTGAACAGCTGAAATTCAGGGAGGAGCTCTTTCTCCACTGTGGAGTTGTTTGCAGAGCTCCAGGATTGCAGCTTTCAGCCATCATCACCTGTTTGGGAGTGGACTTTTCAGAGACACAGCTGCTTTTGAGATATCGAGACATCTGTGTTCTATACAAGTAAACCCTCGCCCATGTTGTTAGTAACTCTATTAAAAACTCATTGGCTCACCGACTTTGGTGCAGTTGTTACTTTGCTGTGTCATGAGTTCCCTTTCTGGATAGGTAAAAATGTGCATGCTGCATGCGTGCGTGCGTGAGTGCGTATGTTGCATCTCTCCAGTAAAAGCCTGCCACATGACAATAAGTAGAGACAGGAGGATCCCTGGGGCTCACTGGCTGGCCAGTTTAAATTAATTGGTGAAATCCAGACAAATGAGAAACCCTGTCTCAAAAGAGAGACCTCCACACACACAGTGTACATACCTCTCTACATGCATAAATACATACATACATACATACATACATACATACATACATACACTCACAAATAACTATAACAGCAATACCAGTGTTCGGATAGGCATGGTTCATGTTTGCAATTCCAGGACTTGGGAGGCTAATATGGTAGGTCTATAAGTTTAAGAGAATCCTGAGCTTTATGAAAAGGAGACTCCTTCACATTGGGGGGGAACCCTTCCAGACCCTGGATTAGGTACACACCACACCCAAACATCCGTTTTCCCAGAGGGATCCTTTATTAACTTGGGAAGAACAGTTAAAGTAGTTATTTTCTAACTGGGGCTGAAAACAGTATCAAATGACCTTGTAGGTGTTATTTTTAAGAGAAAAAGGGGAGGTCTGGGTTAGAATGGGCTAGGGCGTGGTGTTGAAAGAGATAGGCTTTGAGGGAGAGGGGATGGTTTGAATGGAAAGGGGACAGGGATGTTTGTCTGGAAGGGATAGAGAGGAGACAAACATGGCACAAAGGCAAATGACAGTTTATGAAGATAAAGGGGGAAACCCCAAGTTAGGGTGAGGTATTTAGTTTTAACTGGGCATGTTAATTAGGTAAGCGAAAAGGTGCTTCTGATTCCTTGACCTTGGTAGTCAGCCTCAGGAGGAAGAAGTCACCAAATGAGGGAATAGGCCTTAGTGGCTGGCTTTAGGAATGTAATCTAACAGTTTTTAGCAAGGTAGAGGGAATAGGAGGAAGAGTAAGGCCTGCCAGAGCTACATGTTCAAGTGGGCTAGTTCCCTTTAATTAGGGAATTCCAGAAGTGATTGTGGCATCTTGTCAAAAGCTGTTTGAAGGTATTTTAAATTATTGCTACCAAATACTTTACCTGTGCTCCATTTAATGCTTCCAATAAATTCCATGGATTAGAAAAGCATTATAAAGCTTATCACAATTCTTCCATTGCCATTTGAGCTCAGGTATTCTCAACTAGCTTTTCTAAGCTAACAGGCAAACTTCCAAATTCCTGAATGACCTCCATTGTCAAGTGGACAAAATGTTTAACTTTTTTGACATGGGATCTCACTATGCAACCCTGGCTGGACTGAAAGTCACTATGTAGACCTGGCTGAACTCAAATGCCCAGCCTGTATCTGCCAAGAGTTGGGATTAAAGGCTTGCACCACCACACCAGCCCCTAATTATGAATAGTTTTTAAATAGAAGCATAGAAAGTAATGTGAAGTTCAAAGTATCCATGACTGATCTTTAGTAATTACATTCTGTCAACCTAATCACAACTGTTTCTCTTAGCACAACTGGGTGCTGAACCAGGGTCTTGCACACGTGTGTGTGTGTGTGTGTGTGTGTGTGTGCGCGCCTGCGCTGTATTAATCAACTAGATCCTTCTCAATCCAGTCAACAATCAAGTTTAATCATCACTGACCTTGTGTTCAAAGTTTTCAGGAAAAGCTATGCATGGGAATGTGGATCTTACACATAATGAGAAACACAAGGCTTGAGCCTGATCCCACCAGCTCTGCATTCTGCACTGCTGGCACCATGAAACCAGTGATGCTGGCTGGAGCACAGTGTGGAACAAGCAATTTTGTTCCTTAAAATAAGAGTGAAACATGGTTCTGTGCCAACAGTGGTCTCAGCCTGGTAGCAGCCTTGCACGAGCCCTTGACCTTGCCCTTTGAGTCCAACTTGTAGAAATGAGGCTCTCCTCTCAAGAGGTTCGCTTTGTAAACCTGTGTTCGTTAATTTTAGGCACCCACTGATGGCTCCTCACCCATACAACCTGGCTAAGAGATCAGCAGTAGACAATGTGCCTTAAATCTCTTTTTCAGCTTCCCTCTGGTGTGGAATTCCACTGTTAGCAATCTCACCATTGCGGGCCTTGGTGATGTAGTCCTTTCACATGCAAGGTGAGCCATCTTGACTCTACAAAGGAGGCCTTGATTGCTTCACACATTATGAGGTTGCATGCTTTTGCAGCTCCTTGTGTTTATTTTCATTTCGAATGTAGCGTTTAATTAGACATAATCACACAGAGAGGAAAATAAGAACCAACACTCGGGGCTTTTGCAGAAATGAATACAGTCTGATTAGACTGTGAAATGATCATCCTTGTCCCCTGAAAAAAAAATAGTGTGCTACCATAAAAAAAGACAAGGACAGTTATAGAATAAGCAATACACAGATGAAAATTGAATTTACAAGCCCTGCTTCATTCAACGCAAACGTAAGTAGATATTTGGCAAGATAGCCCCAGTACCTAATTCAAATAATAAAAAAAAAATCACTGTAATGGAGGACAGTTGATCCTTCAAGTAAGACCCCTCCCCCCAAAAAAAGAAGAGGAAAAATGCATTAATAATGGCAATGGCATTGAGAAGTAATTGCTGGAGAGACAAAAACAAAGGAGTCTGGAAACCTCTACAACTTCCCCATTCATGCTTTTCACAAGTCTCTGGAGAAACAGAAGGTGTGGAGAGTGACTCTTCAGTTGTTCAGGGGAAAGATGCAGAAGATGATGAAGACGTGGGCCAAAAAGTTTGTGGAAGATGATGAGGTAGGTGAGAGACTGGAGAGATCTTTTTTTAGCATATGAATAAATTGGGTGTCTGAAGTGAAGAAGAAAAAGAAAATGACCTTAATGCACAACATAAAGGCAAAGCAATCTTCAAAGAAACTCTGCAGAAACACAAGCCCACAGAGAGCATGTGCAGGACAAAGTCAAACGCACTTGATTTCTCTTCACCTTTGTAAACAGCACTGATAATTTTGAACTTCTTTACCTTAAATATAACCATGCCTCCCCCTGAAAAACAAGACTTCCCAGGAATATAGCCCCCAGACTAAGAATGATAATTTCCTACAATCTAGGTTTCATGACACTATTTTTTTTCTTGTTTTTCTTTTTTGGTTTTTTGAGACAAGGTATCCCTGTATAACAATTACAGTATTTATTGACTTTAAGTCAATGCCAGTCAGCAATCAAATGTACATGGTTTCAGGAACTCGGGCCCAAATCACTATTCAATGTTACTTGAACCAAATCTACTGACAGTACATTCTGAATAGCTATAAGGCTGGCCTTCAACTTTCAGTCCTTTTGTCTGGGCCTCCCTAGTGGTAGGATTACAATAGCACCAGCTACAAAAGAACACATCAAGAGACTGTACTCATTGGTTTTGTAGTCCTAATCAGATCTGGATTATACACCCACCTCTGTATCCAAGCTGTTGGGTAGCCCTTTCAAAGTAACCCTTGTCCTATTGGGTCTGATTCCTCGCCTGTATTTCTAACATTCATTAACTCCACAAATATTTGTCTATTGCATTCAGCACTGTGTGCTAGCAAGACAGGGTGGAACAGAAAGCACCAACATTTACTAAACACTTACTTTACACTTGAACTTTTGCTAGGGGAGTTATGTACACTAACTGATAACCTGTGAGGCACTAATGTGATATTTTCCAAACATAGCAAAGGAAGGGACCAAGGCATGGTGAAACTGAAGTCACTTCTCCAGGATATCAAAGGACTTGGATAAGATTAGATAGATACTAGGCTATTTGGCTTCAAATCCCATCACCCCAGTAACCAGAACCAGTTCCAGTTCTTTCTCTTTCAAGAGATTACTATTTTCATTTTTTGTTTTTGTTTTGTTTTGTTTTCAGACAGGGTTTCTCTGTGTAGCCCTGGCTGTCCTGGAAGTCGCTCTGTAGACCAGGCTGGTCTCAAACTCCCAGAGATCCACCTGCCTCTGCCTCCCGAGTGCTGGTATTAAAGGCGTGTGCCACCACTGTCCTGCTTTATTTATTTATCTATTTATTTAATATTTGCGATTACTATTTCAATGACTTGCATTTTGGAAGAACACCCTCTTGTCATCACAAGGGTACCAAAGCACTGGCATAGGTTAGAGAAATGATCCAGAAATCTACAATGGGCAGACAGCACCTGACTCTCCCACCTGACTCTCCTACTCGGGAAATTTCCACGCCCAGTAGGCGGGCAAGGAGAAGCGTGTGGGCGAGCCTAGCACACGCATGTCCCTCGGAGCCTCTCATTGGGTACAGTTGAGCGTGCGGGTTACGTCAGGGCTAAACTTCGGCGCAGGGCTGGCCCTTTCAACGTCCTGGAGCTGATCCCCCACCCCCCTCCTCTCCCCTTTCAGCTTCCTGTATCGCCGATCTTTAATGAAACCAGCAAGAGGACACCGCCTGCGTCTAGAGCAGCCTGGTCGGGAGCGTAACTGAGTGGCCGGCGGACGTGAAAGGAAAGCGGTGTACGCCTTGTTTTCCTGCCCTTGAGCCATTCTAGATGCGGTGAGTGCTAAGACCGCGGTCCCCACTCCAAGCGCAACCCAGAGCGGCTGCTCCCCTCCCTCCTCTGGGGAAGACCTGGGCCCTAGCCCATTCCCAGCATGCTCCACTCGGGATGCCCTTGCAGGTGCGATGGGAGGACCCAGCAGGGAGTGGTGAAGAGCAGCCTTCCTACAAGTGCTCCCTTGGTCCCTCATTGGAATCTTGAAATACTCAAGTCCATCCCTGTACTCAGTCTCCATTTTGATCTCCATCCACTAACTCCTTCTTTAAAAAAAAAAAAAGTCTCAGAAACAAAGTTTCTGCCCTCGCTGTGTGTGAAGTTTTATATCCCCTTCTGCTCTGTAGAAATTACCCTATCATGTGAATATCTGGTGTTACTTTTTTTTTTATTATTCCTCCACGGAGGGATAATTTGTGCAAATAACTTTTGTGTAAAATGTGTAGACATTTGAGTTTTAATAGTATTTTTGCTGCTAGGAGGAGTATCCCTGTAAGGAAAACTTCTGACAAAATATCAAGTGAAGGGACTTGTCTGGATTGTTGTGTACTGGCCAGAAATAATGATTGTGTGATAAGAGCTGCAATTATAACGACCACACTGACAACACTGTTTGGAGGCATAGCTTTTCTGCTGTTTCTCCTTATGGGGGTTGTTGATTGACCAAGTTCACTGGAGGAAAGTACGATCTTGCCTTTCCCCACCCACTTCCCCAAACACACTTAGAAATTGCACCTGCCCATCACACATCTGTCTTTGTGGTGGAAGTCAAAGTTCATTTCCTGTATAAGAAAACAGCAGGAGCCACAAGTGGTGCAGCATTAACAACAGCACTTGGGCAAATGAAGTGGGAGGAACACAAGTTCAAGACCAGCTGCAGTTACATAATGAGACTCTTTGTTTCACAAAAAAAAAAAAAAAAAAAAAAAGAAAGGAAGGAAGAAAGAAAGAAAGAAAGAAAAAATAAAGAAAAGAAGAAAGAAAACTGTCAATATAGCACTGTGGTGAAATTTGCTGCAAGCTTCAATTATGCTTAGTAGGTCCACACTTTATAGGTTACTTCTGCCACTGATAGCCTCTGTGACTTAGGGTCAGTTACTTAACCTTTATGGTCCTCTATTTCCCTATTTATAAGAAATCTGTGTGTGGCATGGGAGGATTCACAGAGTTGGGAATTAGGGTCAGATAATGCTGGACTTCAGATAACCTTCTCTATCACTCCCCCTTTTTATTCTTCCTGAACCAGGAATATGCTGAAGGCCAGCAGGCCCCAGTGATCTATCTCCAACCCCACAGTGCTGGAGTTGCAGATGGCTCCCTGCCTCGTTCAGCTTTTTATATGGGCACTGGGACTGCAACTCAGGTCCTCATGCTCGTGTACCATCTCCCCAACCTCATAAATTTAAAAAAAAAATATTGACACATAACTACATTTTTTGTTTGTTTGTTTTTTCAAGACAGGGTTTCTCTGTATAGCTTTGGAGCCTGTCGTGGCACTCTGTTACCCCAGGCTGGCCTTGAACTCACAGAGATCCACCTGTCTCTGCCTCACTGGTGCTGGGATCAAAGGCTTGTGCCACCACCACCCAGCTAACTGTACATATTTTTTAAATGAGAGAAATTATGGTTCTTTTTAACCATAAGAGACAAAGTAGAAATCTAAGGAGCACAATGGAACTTTACAGAGTTGCAAAGGAAATTGAGAAACCTCTGACCTTTACTAGCAGAAATAGAAACCATATTTTCCAGATGTTTTATTTACATTGGCATTTCTTTCAGTTTCTAATTGAAATTAAAAATGCAGGAGTTCTTCCCCCAGTTTACTTCCTCAAGGGAGAACATAACTTTTGAGGAGATAAAAATATTCATTAATGTCCCCCAAATATATTGACTTCTTTCTCCAAACAACTTTCCATTGTAGGCTTTTTATTACATCATTAGTTGGTATACTGTATTGTAAGACACTTGTCTTAGGGGCAGAATGATATTAACAATGTGTTATTAACCACAAGAAATGTGATTTAGATGGTTTAAAGTATCTTAGGACATTAGCCACCAGTTATATAAAGCACTAGGTTGAAAAGAGAAATTTGAGTCTCATGGTGGTGGGACATACCTTTAATCCCAGCATTTCACTCAGGAAACAGAGGCAGGGGGATCTCTGAGTTCAAGCTCATCCTGATCTCCAGAGCAAATTCCAGGACAGCCAGGGCTACACAGAGAAACCCTGTCTTGAAAAAAAGACAGAAAAGAGAGACTTAAAGTCTTTTGTAATGGCCAGAGGTACTTCAAACCATAACGCAAGTTTGTCACACAATATTTTTAGAGAATGGTGGAAAAACAATCTCTATAACTTTGGTTTCCAGGCTAATGCTTTGATTTGCCTCTTGGTTAAATAAATGGTGATGTGCAAACATTCCCCCCACCCTCCCACTGTCAATTGTACTCCGTGGAAGAGTTTCTACAATGTTGCAGTTTCTGCTTAATGGTAACCAAATGCTAGTGGAAGGATTCTAAGAGTACTTGTCACATATGCTACCCAAATGATTTCAAGAGTGTGGACCTGCTTCTAAACATTAAGGGCAAATGGTAAGTATATAAGAAATAAGCAAGTGAAATTATTAGACTGTTTGAAAAGTCTTTTTCTTTACAGGAAAAATGCTTTCAGAAAGCAGTTCATTTTTGAAGGGTGTGATGCTTGGAAGCATCTTCTGTGCCTTGATAACTATGCTAGGCCACATTAGGATTGGTCATGGAAACAGAACGCACCAACATGAGCATCACCACCTGCAAGCTCCTAACAAAGAAGATATCTTGAAAATCTCAGAGGCTGAACGCATGGAGCTCAGTAAGAGCTTCCGGGTGTACTGTATAATTCTTGTAAAACCCAAAGATGTGAGTCTTTGGGCTGCAGTGAAGGAGACTTGGACCAAACACTGTGACAAAGCGGAGTTCTTCAGCTCTGAAAATGTTAAAGTGTTTGAGTCAATTAATGTGGACACGAATGAGATGTGGTTGATGATGAGGAAAGCTTACAAATATGCCTTTGATAAATACAAAGACCAGTACAACTGGTTCTTCCTTGCACGCCCGACTACTTTTGCTGTTATTGAGAATCTAAAATATTTTTTGTTAAAAAAGGATCCATCGCAACCCTTCTATCTAGGACACACTATAAAATCTGGAGACCTTGAATACGTGAGTGTGGATGGAGGGATTGTCTTAAGCATAGAATCAATGAAAAGACTCAACCACCTTCTCAGTGTTCCAGAAAAGTGTCCTGAACAAGGAGGTATGATTTGGAAGATATCTGAAGATAAGCAGCTAGCAGTTTGCCTGAAATATGCTGGAGTATTTGCAGAAAATGCAGAAGACGCTGATAGAAAAGATGTATTTAATACCAAATCTGTTGGGCTTTTCATTAAAGAGGCCATGTCTAACCACCCGAACCAGGTAGTAGAAGGATGCTGTTCTGATATGGCTGTTACCTTTAATGGACTGACTCCTAATCAGATGCATGTGATGATGTATGGGGTGTACCGGCTTAGGGCCTTTGGACATATTTTCAACGATGCATTGGTTTTCTTACCTCCAAATGGTTCTGAGAATGACTGACAAATATCAAGAGCATGCATTTGGTAACCACTTTAAGACATGTTATTGTTTCTATTTGATAATGCATCTAACACAGTAATGTGTTTCCTTTTCTTATCTGGTCACACTGGTATAATCACACATTGAAGTCTACTTGTACATTTTCAAATGGAATGGTATTTTTCCCCTTAAATCACTTGTGAGAAATTTTAATGTGTTAGAAACATGTTTTAAGAATAGCAATCATGCAAATATGTATTTATAAATATTATATTTATGTAATAAAGACTAAATTATAGACATTAAAATCTGTGATGTATCTTTGATGATTAGTTTTAAATTTTTAATGTATCCTTTTAGTTTTCTAATATATGCAAATGAGATCTCTAGTGAATTGTGATTAAAATTATACTTTTAGCCTTATGTTTCCTTTACTTTTCTGTGGGGGCAGGGACACTTGAAGGAGGTAGGAGCAGGCTCTTACTGTAGTACAGGCTGCCCTAGAACTGACAGTTATCCCTAGCCTCCTGAGTTTCAGTATTAATGGTGAGTGCTACTATGCCCAGTTGTTTCCTTTACTTGGGATGTAGATTTGTGCTCTAAGCCACATCAATGCCAACTGTTTTACTCTCCTATAATATAAAGTCAAGCAATTAAGGAACTATTCATTACTGCAAGTTAAGACTTCAATTCTGTCCTCGAGAGCTCATGCAAATTATTTACACATGTTAAGTAATATTCCTGAAAGTTAATTAAATGGCATTCCTGAGCATTTACACTCTCCATTAACTCTGTACTTCAGCACTCAGATCATGCATTTGGAATGGTGGCTATGAAAATTGTCATGTTGTTTGACTGGTTTGCCCCTTAAGCTCTGAGCTGCAGCTTAGATTAAATATATGACCTGTGGTTTATTCATACCTTCTAGACAGTAAGTTCTACACAGATATCCTTTGAAAAAAAACTTGTTTTTTTGCTCATCTGGCTGATTCACTTACCTAAGTTAACTGTAGGGTTTTGTTGTTTTGGTTTTTTTTTTTTTTTTTTTTTTTTGTTACTTGTACAGGTTCTGGGATTTTCCCCAGATTCATGATTGTATCACACATAACCAATTTTGTTTTGTTTCCATTTGGCATGGGTAGGCACTAACCTCACCATCCATGTTAGATTACCATATTGTTTGCTTAGTTTCAAGGGACTTCCTAAAATGCCTATCCATTGTGGTTACCATTATTCCTGTCCTCCTAAATGTATAGTGTGCTTGGATCTGGCCTGTCCTATATTCTGCTCTCTTAAATTCGATCCATAAGCTCCTTTAGGATGTGAGACTATTTTTAGATACAGTATGCCTTGTAATTGGCCTCAATGATTCTAAAAAAGTCCTTTAGCAAAGCAAGATGGATTTCCCCAGGAAGGCTTTGAGCTTCAGACTACTGACCCTCAAGGGCGTGTATCAAGCCTTTGTTTTCAATGCTCTCTGGCCTTCCTTGGGATTTTCAGTTAAGCCGAAGCATTATTAATTTCAAAGAATCATAAATCCTATTTAATAAGCACCATATTATGTGGTTACAGGTGTGACTTTTACAGATCAAGTCATGTTCAGTGTGAGCATAATGATAAAAATTCTGAATGACTCATTACCCTAACACTAATATCTTTACATTTTTATTACATTTATTTTATTGAGGGGAGGGCTGTTTTGCAAGCCACAGTGTACAAGTAGAGAGCAGAGGGCAACTTGTGAGAGTCAGTTCCCTCCTTCCACCACATAGGTCCTGGAGATCAAACTTGTATTGTCAGTATTCACAATAAGCACTTTTATCCACTAAACCATCTGTCTGGCTTTATTTAAACTGTTCTGTTTTATGGACCAGAGAGATGGCTCAGCGTTTAAGAGCATTTCCCATCTTCCAGAGGACCAAGTTAAGTTTCCAGTATAAATATAAATAAATATATATATATATATATATATATATATATATATATATATATATATACACACAACACACATACATATATATTGGGTGTCTGACAAGTACCTGTAACTTGGATTCAACACCTTCTTCTGGCTTTTGCAGACACCTGCACACACGACAACAGAAGCACATATACACATAAAACATAAATTTTTTTCTATTATTGTGTTACCTTGCCAGCACCAGCATATTTAAATTTTTCATCTTTGGGCTAGAGAGATGTTTCAACCATTAAAGGCTAGTCTCAAAACCAAAACTATAAAATTTCTATCTTTAATTACATTAGCCTATCAAAATACAGAAATTACCAGGCCCCAGTACTCAGGAGACAGAGGCAGGGGGGTCACTGTGAGTTCCAGGACAGCCAGAGCTACATAGAGTGACCTTATCTCAAAAAACAAAAACAAATTGGAATGTCAGTGAATGCATCCTTTTGATTTCCCAGTCAATAGATGACAAGGTAAACATGGCCATTTAAAATACAACCCATGCTTAATTGAGCTTTTACACATGATATTGGATGTAAAATGTCTCTAATAGTATGTAGTCTCAATGAAATTAAGTATATCCAAGCTTGTAGATAAAAGGGGGTTCACTAACAGGAAAATTGTGACACTGGTTACAGACACACATACACTTTTCATACATGTCATTTCACCTCATGTGTAACAATATACATTTAGTATCTAGAAGCTAGCCCTAGCCACACTCTGGAATTAGGGAGTTGAGGAAAAATAGACATCCAATGCAAATTGATCATGATTGTGAATACCTTTGCATATGGCTAATGACTAACATAACAGATACACAGGTTTAAACAACTATCAAAAAACTTACCCACCTCTAAGATTTAAATGAGAGAATCTTTTCTGATTTGGTTTTTGAAGACAGGGACTCTCCATGTAGGCCTGGCTTTCCTGGAATTCACTCTGTAGACCAGATCTGCCTGCCTCTGCTGGGATCAAAGGTGTGAGCCACCACTGCCTGGATGGTAGATGTCTTCTAATAGTTTAATTTGTATTTACTTTTTTGTTTGTCTTAAATAGATACTGGAACCTAACTTTAGCAAACCCCAGGCCATTTCCTTGCATGAGCTGAATCCTCAAAAGTGAAAACATTATGTCTAGAATAAAAAAGCAATTATACTCCTTGACTTTTGCCTTTTGATTTGGCAAAAATAAGTTACTATGTATCAAATCTGGCTTATAAAACCAAGAGGGAATTTTGGAGGACACATTTACTTAGATAAATGCATCAGGTTCTGTTAAAGCAGAATATATGTACATTAAAAACATTATAGAAAGCAGTCTGCTTCCTTTGTTAAGTGTTTCTTTAGTTTCTTTAGCTGAAAAACCCAGTGCATGGGTGGTTACATGATGAGTGTGTTTATAAAAGTTAGCTTCTTTTTTGTTGTCTAGTTTTTTTTTTTAATGATGTGTATATGTGTGGTTATGTGCACTTAAGAGCAGGAGCCCTTGGAGGCCAGAAGAGGATGTCAGATCCCCTGGAGATGGAGTTCCAGGCAATTGTGACCCACCTGATCTGGGTGCTTGGAACTGAACTCAGGTCCTGGTTTTCTCTTGAGCCATTTCTCCAGCCCATTTCAGGAGTGTGAAAATTTAACCTTCAAGCTTGGCAGCAAGCACCTTTAACCACTGAAAATTCTCTTTACCAGCCCTGTTTGGGGTTTTTGCTGTTGTTTAGTTTGTAAGCACAGCCCAAGCTGATTTCAGAGTCAAGGGATTTGTCCTGCCCCAACCTCCTAAGTGTTGAAATTATAGACATGAGCTACCATGCCTGACTTTTTACACATACTTTTTGTTGAGAGTCTAAAATAATGGGAATATACCATTGTACTTGGCTCATATTCACCCTTCCAGTATACTTCCTCATCCTGCCTGCCTGTTTTTGCTCCTTCCCTCAAATAGCCCCCTTCTGATTTAATGACACACACACACAATCCAAATTCCAGATATGAGAAAAATGTGAGATATTTTTGTCATCCCCCAACCTACTGTTGCACCTACCCCTCCCTTAAGATTCCCTTGACCCACATAGTCTCTAGCAGAAATTAACTTTCTTTTAGCATAGGAACAGTTTTTAAAGTTTACCTACTCCCCCCCCCCTAAATTTTAAAATTAATGTATCAGGGTTTAATTGTTCAGACCTAAAATCACAGCTGAAGGAGGAGAGCAAGAAGCTCTTAAGTTAGAACCCAGCCTTTATGAAATCCTGTCTCAAAAAATTAATAATCATGGATTAGCAATATGGCTTTGTGGTACTTGCCACCAGGCCTGATGATAGGAGTTCATTTCCCAGGACCCACATGCTAGAAGAGAACTGGCTCCCACAAAATTTTTCTTAACCTCTACATGCAGATAAAACAGGAAAATATTAAAAGTCAGCTAAGTGTGGTGGTGCAATCCTTTAATCCCAGCAATTAGGAAACAGAGGCATGCAGATCTTTGAGTTTGGGTCTAGCCTCAAGTTCCAGGACAGTCAGGGATATATAGTGGGGCCCTATCTAAAAAAATAACAAAATTAAAAATGTAAAACCAATCATATTCAACATGTACCATCATCAAATATTAAATACAATAAAACATTTAATGAGTGGTGGGAAATTGTTTGGAAAATGATGTTTATCTGGGAATCTTTCATAACGTGTATCATTGTGGCATCTTCACAGAGTTTTCCTTTTACATGCCAAGCATTTTTTTTTTTAAGACAGGGTTTCTCAGTGTAGCTTTGGAGCCTATCCTGGCACTTGCTCTGTAGACCAGGCTGGCCTTGAACTCACAGAGATCTGCCTGCCTCTGCCTCTCAAGTGGTAGGACTAAAGGTGTGTGCCACCACCGCCTGGCCATGCCAAGCATTTTTGAGCTGGATGCTAGGCCTGGTGACTTGTGGAATGCAACAAGAATCCAAAATTAATCAGTTTGTGTAAGGTTTGCATGAGCAGTAAAACAAACCATTGTTTACATTGTATAACACTGTCCTCTGCATATCATGGCCATTACCTACTTGCACTCTTAGCAGCCAGGATTACCCTCAGGAGACCCAGACACGATTTGGTCCATTAATTCTATCAAAAAGGGGAAGGGCTCATGCAGTCTCACCTATTCCTATAGAGATCTAGGCAGTTATTAGTTGCTTACTGTGGGCAGCTCACAAGGCCCCTGCTCTTCTGTGAAAACATATAGGTAGTTAACAGTTGCTGAGAGTGGGACTCAGGAGGACCATAACCTCAAGGAGAGATAAGACTGGTAAGAGTTACTGAAAGAGACTGAAGATAGGCAGTTAACAGTTGCTGAGCATGGGACTCAGGAGGTCCTTACCCCATCAAGAGTAGACAGGCAGTTAATAGCTGCAGAGAAAGGGGCTCAGGCAGACACCCCTCCACTGCCAAGAATAGACAAGTAGCTGAGGAGAGAACCAGGA